GTCTCCTGCCTCTGCCTCCCAAGTAGCTGGAACCACAGGCGCCCGCCACAACGCCCGGCTATTTTTTGGTTGCAGCCGTCATTGTTGTTTGGCGGGCCCAGCTGGATTCGAACCCGCCACCTTGGGTGTACATGGCTGGCACCTTAGCCACTTGAGCCACAGGCGCCGAGCCCACACCTGAGATTTTAAAAAGAACAAGAATAATCACAGGGCCAGGTTCTGCTTGTCTGTGAAAAGACAAGTGTAACTGCCTATAAACAAAACTTAATACCATTCAATTTGGAAGTCTCTTATCTTCTTAAAAACAAGCTCTATGGATGTGCCACTCACACATAACACTGACCAGTCTCAGAAACAGTCGGTGGGCCAGGAGAGCCCTCCACGGAAGAGCACATGCTGTTGGATCCCACTTGTGTGCCCTTCTAGGGCAGCAGCCACAGTAACCAGTGGTTGCCTGGGGTCGCGGTAAAGGAGATTACCACAGAAAGGCACAAAGGAACTTTCTGGAATGATGCCGTAGATCTCACAAAAGAGAGACAAGATGCATCATACCCATACAATGAAACAGCATTCAGCTGTGAAAAGAAGACCAATCTAGGCTACACCATGAATGAATCTTGAAAATGCTAAGTAAAAGAAGCCGGTCACAGAAGACCAAACAGTATGAGTCCAGTTATGTGAAATGTCCAGAAAAGGCAAATCTGGAGATTAGTGGCTGCCAGGGTCTGGGGAAAGGGGACAGGGAGTGACTGATAGAATAGGGAGTTTCTTCTGGGGGTGGTGACGGTTACACTGCTATGAACATACTAAAAACCACTACCTTGTATACTTTATAAGAAAAAAAATTTTTTTTAATTTTTTTTTTTTTTCAGACAGAGTGAGACTCTGTTGTCCTGGAGTCGAATGCCATGGTGTCATCATAGCTCACAGCAACCTCAAAGTCTTGGGCTCAAGCAATCCTCCTGCCTCACCCTCCCCAGTAGCTAGGACTCCAGGCACTTGCTACCCTGCTCAGCTAGTTTTTCTATTTTCCGTAGAGATAGGGTCTCACTCTTGCTCAGGCTGGTCTTGAACTCCTGAGTGCAATCCATGGGTCTCAGCTCCTAGAGTGCTGGGATTACAGGCGTGAGCCACCCTGCCCAGCCTGTACAAAATTTTTTTTTAAATAGAAACAGGGTCTCACTTTGTTGCTCAGGCCTCAAGTGATCCTCCCATAATCTTCCCAAAGTGTTAGGATGAAAGGTGTGTGCTGCAGCACCCAACCTGGATTGCATACTTTCTTTTCTTTTTTTTTTTTTTTTTTGAGACAGAGCCTCAAGCTGTCACCCTGGGTAGAGTGCTATGGCATCACAGCTCACTGCAACCTCCA